AAGTCTGCCGTCATTATCGGAAACTTGGTGCCGGTGCTGCCAACAAGCATTCAGATACACACACATACAGAGAGGGAGAGAAGGGGGGGGGGGGGTCTGACAAAAATAAACTGTTTTGTGATTATTTTTTCTCCTATGCCCATTACAATTGTGCGTGTGTGGTGTGTCTACAGGTGCTGCCGGGGAACACCAACACGTACATCGTGGCGCGCCAGGACCTGGCCATGCCCTTCGTGGCCACCAAGGTGCGCTTCATCCCGCACTCGGAGCACCCGCGCACCGTCTGCATGCGCGTCGAGCTCTATGGCTGCCTCTGGGACCGTAAGTACACAAGAAAATGTTCTCGAAAGATTTCGGCGCTTTGTTGTAGTCACACTGGAAAAACAAAGGTGCGATATCTTAACTTTCCAGGGGTGCTAAACCCGTTTGTGGGGTGCTAAATAAGTGTGTATTTTCAGATTTTCCCAAATATTTTCTGAGTGAGCAAACCAATCACATTTTGGGATACATTGTCGCATGCCTCGAAAAAAATCGCGTCCAGCGAGTCTTCATGTGATAGGGTTCTGTTGAGTAGTCATCAAATTAAAAGCAAGTCAAAAAGTACAAAAAATTCTATCAATTAATGCCATTTTTGAACAGAACCCCATCACATGTAGGCTCGTTCGACGCGGAGTTCTGCGTAGATTACGAAAATAGGTTTTAGAATCCAATTTTATTCCATAGGAACTAAATATTTCGAAAAAAAAAAACATAAACTGTAATGCCTTTGGAGCTTTAGTGCCTTTTAAAGGTAGGATATCCTACCTTTGTTTTACCAGTGCAGTCGAAAAATGCTAAGAAAAATGTTCTCAACCGTAGGTATTTTTTCTTTATTTCGATTTTTTGAAGCCTGCCTGCACTATACACATTACTCGTGGTTTACAACCAGATGTTTATTTTGGTAAAACATTAGTTAAAGCGCACAGCAAGACTTTCATACAATGTAGGAGCAGACACACACGTACCGCACATTTCTGCCAGCAGCAAGCAGTCGTCGTCGTCCCGGACCAAACTTATACGCAGCGCGCGCCGTTCGGATGAGCGGAACCCATTTGACGTACAGTCATTGTTCCTAAATTCGGACTTGCGCCCTAAATTCGGACATTTTGCCGTATTTCACTATTGTCGCCTCCAAATCCATTATGCGT